TCCGAGCACGGTAAACGAGATAACTGTTGAGTGTAAATGGAACGCACAACTGAACCCAACTGCGCGCGACACAACCGAACCGCTCTAACATGGTACTCTGTTCTCAGATAACAAAGAGAGCATGAGCAGACCGCGTCATCTGCTTACAGTCAGCCTCCCTGTTCAGGAAATTTCAGTCATTTATAAAAACACTAGCTTCCCTACCGTGCCACAGATTTCTAATGATGATTCTGCTTAAGCTGTGCATTCGCTGTATGTTTTTTTTTTTTTTTTTTCAATCGTTGCACGCAGCTAAAGCTCACACTGTATGACGAAACAGCAGGTTTTAAAAGTTCACAGCTCACAATGTTTGTTCTCACACTGTGCGATCTGATGCTCTGCTGCGATCTACCTGCTCACACTGTACGTCTAAAAACCAGGTGGGACTCAGTTCCGCAGTGAGATGGCGCTACTATCAGGAAGCCAAACGAGTAGAAGAGGAATATGAAGCTCACTAGAGTAAAACGCGCTGCCTTGGTTATTTGTGCAATTTTGTGCTGAAAGCCCTAAAAAGAAAAGGCGAAGACGTATTTGGACAAAGACATGGCTGAGCAAACGTGGCTGCTACAGTCAATTTTACAGAAAGAACTCCATTTCACTCATTGCACCCCCGCCATGCTGCTGGGTTTTCCTCTGAGAGGAAGAAGAAGAAAAATCCTTGTTTGCCCACTGAGCGATTTGCCCACGACCAGCTTACGACGACCGACTGAATTTCAAACATGTTTGATTTTCTCCCAGCCTTACGATTCCTGATGGGGACATGGTCATTAGAGGCTGATCGCCCCTCGTTACCCCCTGTTCACTACACCACGCACCATCAGGCTGGAAGTTGACCCTATGGAAAAATTCTCACACAACTGGAAAATAAGCCTAAAAGAGCAAAAAATCTTACAGTGTACGCAGAGTAGGGATGCACGATATTGGGATCTTGGCCGATATCCGATATGCCGATATTTTAAAACTCATGTAGCCGATAACCGATATCGAAAATAAGTAGTCATTGAAAATAGCAGTTTTATTATCCATTTCTGACACTTTGAAAAATAATATACT